AGTAAATTTAAAAATATCAAAGCTGGTCTCCGCAAAGGCTACGCCGCGAATAAACTGTCGCGTCAGCTCACCGGCGGCGGCAAGCCAACACACGATATTGACCAACAACTAAGCGGCAATAAGCAAGAGTTACATGCTGCGATTGCGCTAACAATCGAAGGTCTCGCACCAAATTTCGACGATGACGATGAAGGCCAGTGCGCCACAGCCATATATGTAATACTTCTATATTGCTAGTACATTCAAAGTACATTCCCCAACATAAGAGTGCCGAAATATTAAAAAAAGAAAGAGAGATCCGATAAGAGAATGTACTCAAAATGACAACTTTACTTTTCAAAATTCAGGAGCGGTTTCACAAATTTGTATTTAAAAACAACTCTTATGAAAAATTAACAAAAAATAAAATTTTTGTAAATCTATGAGAAGCGCTGCGGCCGTTGCTGGTGGCATAGGATAAAAATACCAATTAGAGAAGACAGTTGGCATTTCCAATTGGCGTCAATCAGCATAGAAGGGAATCGAATAACGTGCTTTATTGGATTCGGCCAACATATAAAATACCACACCACTTTATGTGTTAATAAGTTTTGTCTTTGTTAGGAAAATATTCTATCTTCCTATTTTTCAGATTTCCAAATAACGAGGAGTATCGGAGAAATTCGTCATACCGATCCCTAACCGCTAAAATAATGTATATATATATATATTTTTTTTAAGTTAAACTTCTTTAGCGGCGGTTGGTTGGGTGGGAGTAAATTGGCAAATTCAGCGGAAATTGCACACGGAAATGGTGCAACGGAAGTGATGCAACGGAAATGGAGCAATGGAAATGGTTGGGGCTGAAACAAGTACTTCTTATGTGTATGCAACGGAAATGATGCAACGGAAATGGTGCAATGGAAATGGTACAACGGAATGAAACAAGTAAGTATGGTATGAATTTAACAAAAACTTGATAATAAAAGGTTAGAGGATAACACTTCGAAATAACAGTACAAGAATGAAAGTAAAGGTGAGTACGTACATAGATAAAGAAAATTATAAAGGCAAAGGTAAAAATAAAAACAAAAACAAAGATGTGTAAAGATAAAGGTAAAAACGAAGACCAAGGTAAATTTAAACATTTCCTTTTTGGTTGTTGTTGTTTTCGACAGGGTGGGTGTATGATGTATTATGGAACGAATTTCCGCCATCCCTTGTCAAATTTGGTTTGGAGACAAACCGGTTTCGGCGTTGTGCCATCTTCAGTGTCATTTTTCGTTCTGCATAATTTTTGTTGGTTGCTCGTATTTATA